ACCCACCCACCCCCACCTTCCCTCTGAGATTCATCTGTTCCATGGATCTATTTTGTTCATCGGTTTATTTTGTTCATTAGATTCCACATATGAGTAAGATCATGTGACGCTTATCTTTCTCTGATTGGCTTATTTTGCTTAGCATTACTCTCCAGGTCCCACCACGCTGTCTCAATGGGTTAGGAATCCTTCGTTTTTACAGTTGAATAGTATTCCATTGTGTAAATGTCCAAGAAGATGCTTGATATGATTTCCATCTTCCTGAACTTATACAGACTTATTTTGTGTTCTCACACGTGGTCTATCTTTGAGAAAGCCCACGTGCACTTGAGGACAATGCCTAACTGCAGCTTTGGAGTGGAATGTTCTGTAAATGTCAATTAAATGCATCTGATCTAGTGTGCCATTTGCAGTCACTGTTTCCTTGTCGATTTTTTGTCTGGGAGATCTATCCAGTAGTCAGTGGGGTGTTAAAATCCCCTACTGTGACTGTATTGCTGTCAGTCTCTCCTTTAAAGTCCTCCCGAAGTTGTTTTTCCCCAGCCTGTGTGAGTCTTTGTTCTGAGGTGGGTCTCTTGTAGACAGCACATATTTGGGTCTTGTTTTCTTAGCCATTCAGCTACCCTATAACTTTTGATTGAGACATTTAACCCATTTATATTTAAGGTTATTCCAATTTCTTTAACTAAAAATGTCAGTGGTGTAGTCTGACCATACTTGTTTTCATTTCCTCTACTTGCTGAACTTGGGACATTTCCTTTAATCTCTTGCTACTTTAACAAGTCTGAGCAGTGATGAGTCTACGATTCTTACACAAATATCACCACTCATCTCACTACTTCCTCGTGTAGTAAATGTTATCCCCCAATGCCATCTATCTTCTAGGACTTTTCTTTAAAATTAGAGAATCTTATTTTTCTAAAAGAAACAAAACACCATTCTTTCTGATTTCCAAATTCTGACCTCCATAAAATGAGCCTTACTGTGAGTGTATGTGTCTGTGGGTTTGGGAACAGAACTCAACTGTTATATAGCAATTGAGTAGATCGTTAGGCACAGTTCTTGACCTTAATGAGGAATCAAACCAAATAACCGAAAAGGGGAAAGGGCAACAAGTTCTATGGGAAAGTGATTAAAAGACTAGAGAAAATTACTTATAAGAAGGAAGCCCCATTCATTTACAAGGACAAAAGGAGGTGGAATACAAGAGGCAGAATCTGAAACTTCAGTAAGTGAACATCAGTACAATTCTGTGGAGACTGTATCAGCGTCACAAATAGCTTTTCCACATTCTTTGCTCCCTTGATAAAGAGATGAGGGGCAAAACTTACCAAACTCAATAAAGCAATAGGGTCTAGACACAGTGGGCACCTTCTTTCCGTACTGCTCATCGAACTCGGAGTGCAAATCTTCCAGGTAGGCAAAAGCCAACTTCTTAGGGAAGGTAGCTTCACACAAAACCAAGTAACACACCCCTTGCTCAATAATGTAGCTGGAGAGACAAAAAGCAAGAAAAACGTTGTTTGTAGAGTAACAATACCTCCAACAATTTGAAGCAGACTCTCAGCAAACTTTTAAAAAATAGTCTAACCTAAGCCCTTGGAGGCTACTAAATCAGAAAGCCAATTTCAAACCATAAATCTCTGGAATCGGAAAGCAAATATCTTTTTATTATTAGAAGTATATTCCAAAAGGAGTACTTAGGCATGTTTATCATAACTGTCTATTCACTAGATAATTCTTCAACTAAAATATCCTAACACCTAAGGCTTTTTCTTGAAAACTTGGAGTTGTGACTTCATCCATCCACCCTTTGATTATGTATGGTAAACTAATATACACAGTTTTAAACTCCTTCCAGCTGTAAGAAAAACAGTGAAACTGAAAAATGTCACAGATACTTAAAAGTTGGAATTTAATGCCACAACATTACTGGATACAGAAAATAATGACCTCAGGACTAATAATATTCCCTTATATCTGGGGTAGGTGAACTCTGTATGAAACTCTGTAAACTGGAAACTGAACAATAACAGAACTGACTTCCTCTGTGAGAGTGAGCTTTCCAGCATTCTGGAAGGGGCTATATGATTGAGACAGGCTAGTAAGGCAGGACAAGCGAAATAGGGAAACTGAGACAGGTAAGTTACACAAGCGGTTTACAGCCATCTAGTTAATCGCACAATCCTATCTTCCCTAACCAAGGCTACTTAAGAGTAAATGGTTTGCACTTCTCCTCCCCAACCAGAGGGTAAACAGCTTAAATCACCCTACTTAGGGAGACAGAGAGGAGAAATCCAATTAATGCCATCTGTCCTTAGCACACCCCAGGACTGATGAAGTTAAGAGAATAAATCTCACTTTGGCACATTAGCATAAAACTGACGAATATTCTATTGAGATCCTCCCCTAAACTCTCAGCCTTAAAACATTCAAAACGGAAGTCCCAGGGCACGTTCTCTCTCCTAGGAGCACACCTTCCCCTTCCCCTTTCCCATCTTCCTCCCCCACAGGGACACATCTCCAAAACTCTAAGGGACCCCATTAGGCTTGCAACGGGGGAGCAATGGGCAGTAGCAGCTCTTCAATGCGAACCCCCTGACCCTGTCCCCAAGGCCCCCTTTCCCTGACTTTTTAGTGAGCCAAAGCAGCCCAGCCTAGGCTCATTTCCCCATCTAGTCCCTCTCCTGTTGCTTCTTCTACCCTAGGCCCTTCCTTGTTTCACTGTCCCCAGCTTTAATAAAGTCCTCTGAAAATCACCTGGATTTGTGTTGTGAAATCTTTCCAGCACGAAGTCACGAACCCACACAGGCAGACCCACTCAGGGCCAGGTCCCCTTCCTGGTAACATGAGTACATGTCTGAGATATTCTTGCAGTGGCTTTTCAAATGCCTGTTTAGCATCGTACTCTTTATTTCAGCAAAAATTACATTCAGAAGACCAATGTGTAAAAAAATAAAATAAATTCTTTAAGTAGGTGTCTAAGGGCCCAAATCATTACTCACAACCCCCTTGTTTTTGGTGTAGGTTTTTTTTTTCCTTTTAAGTTAAATACAGAAGGTTGTTCCCAGGTCTATATTACTTTGGTATCTGAGTTCCTAAAATAGCAAGTTTATTCAGCTAATCCTTTTTTTCCCCTCTTATCTTCTTGTCCTCTCTTTTCTTTAATCCTTCCTGTTTTATCACCTTCAAACTTGAAGTGTGGTAAATATTTAATACCAATTTATCTGTAGATAATTTGAAATCCAACGAAGTGCCTTTGATCCCTCTCTGAGCCACATGCATTATCTATAACCACTGACTGAGATGCTCCTAAAGTATCTTTTATCATTCTCTTTTCTCCTAAGTAGTAACACTGACTATTCTCCATGTGCCAGGCAAGACATTAAGAGATGTGCATGGATTCCCTTCAGGTGTGATCATAACTGTGATCACTTTCCCTACTTCGTAGAGGAAACTGAGGCCTACAGAAGTGCATGGGAGTTGTTCAAGGTTATGCTGCTAGTAAATGTTTGAGCAGGGTACTCGCCTGAGTGTGTCTGGCTCTATGAAGCTCCTAAAGCAAAAGCTATCTATTACTGCACGACAGATACAGCAGTCCCTAGACACAGGACAGCAGGTTACACTACTGTGTGCAAGCTGATAGACAAACCAAGATTTCAGTTTTGTAGAACTGGAGCGAGGGAGTTGCTTCCATGAAGAGACTATACTTTTACTGTTGTCTTTAATTTTAAAAAATTGTTACCATTCTCATTAGATGTTACTTACCTTTACTGTGTTTCATACTTAAATGATAAAAAAGAAATCAGGATTATACTCACTGAAAACTCATGGTGTCAGCTTCCAAGGTACATCTGGTAGGGGACTGTTCATTCAACTTTCGAAAGAGCTGCTTAGCCTGACTCTGGTATTTTTGAAGGTCCCGGAAAGCCTGAAAGGAGACACCTTCCTTTAAGGACCTTCCACACACACACTAAATACTCTAGGAACTGGCGAGAGGCATCAGATTATGAGGACCCTATGGGAATAAGGTCCTTCATTTATAGATTAGTGAGATTCATTTTAACAGACAAACAGGCCCAGTTTTAGAGCAAAAAGGAAGGTTAGACTCCTAGTTTTCAAGAAAATCAGTTAGTTATTTGCTAAGAAGGAAAGAGCAGTGTCATCAAATGGAGGAAATTCGTACCTCACTAACCTACTAGATTCAGAAGGAAAAGGAATCCCTGACACACAAGAAGCAAATACACATTATTTATTCGCCACATACAGGGGGAGGGGCCTTTTGCCATGGGACAGGAAGGAATTATTTTGGTTTGAATGACAGAATACAGTCTTTCCTTGAGAGATGTTTAATAAATACATGTTTAAACAGGAAAGTGTTTATACAAAGTTTGCCCCAGGTCTGGATCTGAGCTCTAGTACTGAGAAAGTACAAAGTGAAATCTTAAAATTCTACATAGTAAACTGCTGAGTTAAAAGTAAAAACAAGGAAGCAATAAAAAATTGTTTAAGTGGCAGATAAGCAATGTACAAGTAAGCATAGCTATATTTAAAATGGTGAATTGAAAATCAAAATCAAAACCACAGTGAGGTACCAGCTCACGCCTGTCAGAATGGCTAAGATAAAAAAGACAAGCAATAACAAGTGTTGGCAAGAGTATGGAGAAAAGGGAGCCCTCGTTCACTATTGGTGGGAATGTAAATTGGTGCAGCCACTATGAAAACAGTACTGAGGGGCCTCAAAGAGTTAAAAATAGAACTACCATATGATCTAGCAATTCCACTTCTGGGTAGTTAGTCAAAGAAAATGAAAACAGGAATTTGAAAAGATAAATGCACCCCTAATACTCACTGCAGCATTATTTACAACAGCCATGATATGGAAACAACCTGAGTCCATCAGTGGAGGCAGGATAAAGAAGACAATGGAGTACTACTCAGCCACTAAGAAAATGCAACAAAGAATTATCCACCCTAAAATGTCAACAGTGCCAAAGTTAAGAAACCCTGATAAAAAATTCCATTGTGCACGGCCAGAATGGCTCAGTTGGTTGAGTGTCATCTGGTGCACTGAAGGGTTGCTGGTTCAGTTCCTGGTCAAGGCACATACCTGGGTTACGGTTCAATTCCCAGTCAGGGCATGTAGGGAAGGCAACCAATGGATGTTTCTCTCTCATATCAATGTTTCTCTCTCGCCGATGTTTCTCTCTCTCCCTCTCTCTAAGCATGTCCTCTAGTGAGAATTAAAAAAAGAAAAAAAATTCCATTGTGCTACTTAAAAGCTGTGGGACTTTACTCAAGAGACCTGTCCTCTCTAAGCTTCAGAGCTTCCGTATCTATAAATGGGGATAACAGTACCTATTGGTATGAAAACTGAATGGTATCATGCACTTAACGGGCTTAGCACAGTACACGGTATGTACTAAGCATTCTCTAAACCTCCTGTATACTACTGTAATAGTAAAAATTAGTCTACAATTGATATTTTTGCAGATAATAAGTTTAAGACTTTATCACTCAAAGTCAACATTTCTAAAGGAAATCACTATGGGATTACAATCACAAAAAACATTTTTGTGTCAAGTTTCTTTCCTTGTCAACAAAGAAACCCATCTTGGTAGATGTCTACTTTGGAATTAAGTTAAGAAACACACAATAATATGTCAATTTTTCAAAAAAGTATCAAGGTAGAGAATAAAGGCCTACTAATATTAAGTTGACTTCAAATCCATTTTATATTCTTTGCCCACACTGAAACTTAATGCAACAGTTGGAAAACTGACCAGATTTCCTCCACTTTGGGAAATCTATTTCTGAGTCAAATGACATACTTTAACGGGTATTTCCCCATATCATCCTGCTTGTCCAATCATGCTCCATTTTAAACTTTTACTTCTTTTGCAGAGTGGTCCTAGAAAATATTAAATTGGGAAAGAGAAAAATATTTCACAATTTAAAATGGAGGGCATGCTCCATTTTTTCACATTGTATAATAATGTTTAAACTTTGTTTTGTTGAATGAATAGAAAACACTTCTCTTGGCATGACCTGCAACTTTAAAGTCTGTATCACTATTCTTCTAAAAGTGAAAGTAAACATATTTCTATATCAAACCCACAAAGGCATATAACCAAAGAGAAGCCTTCCTTATTTCTAGACAATACTGTCAATTTAGATGTCATTTCTTCTGGGAAGTTTCCTGATCTCCCCAAATCAACTTAGATACAGTACCTTTTCCATGTTCCACCACAGAAACTTCTTCCTCTTCCAGAGCAGTTACACTACATTTTAACTGTTTGTTAGTTGTCTGGCTTTTCCACTAAATTCTATGCTCCATAAAAATAGGGACTAGGGACTATGTCCCCTGATCCCCTGTATTAGCACCATGCTTGGCACATTTGATGTGCTTAATAAGTGTGTTTTTCCCCCCCATGAATATATGAATGAAAATTCCAAGGAAAGATATGTGCAAAATAATATTTTCTACAACTCATCTTATTTTTAGGCCTTGAGGGTTTTTTTCCTAAAAAGACTTAGGTTATATGAGAAAGTAATATAAAATCAATTACTTTTAAATACGATATAAAAAGTTCATTCTCAGCCTCCCTTCTTCAGGGACCTCCCAACCTTGCTCCAGAGACTCGTTTCACACCAGAAATTTCCCTTGTGAGTCTATGGCACAAAGGAGCTCTCTTTCAAGATGTGTGGGGCTGTTGTGTCTTAACCAACCCAATACATTTCTGAGCACCTACTAGCATAAAGCTGCTGTTGTAAAAGCTATGCTAAACACAATTTGACTAAGATCTGTCGCTTGCCTGCTAGGAAACTCTATTAAAAGGCAAAGAAAAATAGTTAAGATGAAGGTATAAAGCCCAACAGGAATATAACACAGGGGTTATAATTCCAACTGTAAGATTTATTGTAGGAATTGGGCATAACCTTGAAAGAAGGTACTGTACTGAACTTCAAACAGGTGCCTATATGTGGCAATACTACCTCACCCACTTTGAAAAGATATCAGCAAGCTAGGTCAAGGATCAGGTGCTAGAGCTGAAGGATACAGGAGCTGATTTAACCCAGGGCCTGCCAGTCAACCTTCCTGGCAGCAAAAATTTTGAAATCCTGAATTTTAACAAAGTCCCTAACAAGTTACAGAACCCTGGGTGTTCACCATCAGCCGAACCTGATCCATTCTCCAGAGCGTTTTGTTCGTTCAAGAGAAACATGTAACACAAAAAACTACCTGCGCCTCCAGGACAGATTTCTTCTAACAGGTAGTCTCTCCAAAGTCAGCAGATAAAAGAGCAGTTGAGAGAGGACGGGAGTGTCTGGGAAACGGCCAGGGTCTCCCGAGTCCTAAGTAGGAATCGGGCGCTGAGAGCACAGCGCTCGGGCAGGGGCTGGGGGTCGCGGGGACCCGGTCACTCACCTGTTCGTCCTCCTGTATCGAGGCGGCCAGCGGGAGCCCGTCCGCCACTCGGGCGATCATCGTGAGTAACAACATCTTCACGGGTTACGGGGACCCAAGACCGGGCCGCAGGGCTGCTGGCGTCTCTCGATTTCCGCCGCCGCTCCAACAGTTAGGTCTCTACCTTAGTTCCCAGAGATCCAGCTGCTGGCGTCTCCGCTTCCTGCTGAGGTGGCCGGAAACAAGCCCCAGAGCTTCCACTACCGGTCCCCAGAATCGGCTTCCCACCGAGAAGCAAAACTCCCGGAACATTAGTTCCGCCTTCTCTCCTTCCACCTTCAGGGACGTCCAAGGCCCCACTCGCTGTTCTGGGTTTCGAGCTCCCAATAAGCCCCGCGGGCGTGGCACACAAACTGAAACAGAATTTTCTAGTTCCTGAAGCTGGAAGTTTGGGGAGAGGGCTGGGAAGGAAGGTGGGCGTTAATGGGTACTTAGGTGGAGTGTGTGTAACATCAGACAAAGTCAGGCTACATATTTTCACATTTAATTTTTCTATTTTCTATATTATGTATTCTATACACGGTATTTTATATGTTCATATATTTCTGGGAGAGATTTTGGTCTTTTTTTTTTTTTTTTTTTTTTTTTTTTTTTTTTGGAGATAGCTAGACATGCAGTGCTGAGAAGGATTTAATTCATTGTGTTGTCACCGGGATGATGATGTTGGCTCAGTTTTGGATGTTAGGATAAAGCCATAGGATGCTAAACTCTCCCACTGTTGCAGTTCTCACAATACAATATAATTAAGGGGAAGCAGAAGGGCACCTAAGGAAAATGTTAGAA